CATCACAGCATGTTTTACTTCTCAGAGGAAGTGGAGGCAACCGGAGGAAATCACCCTCCATCCCTCACCTCTTCTGCCCCTAACAGTACCCACACCCACCTCTCCCCTCCTCCTTTCTGCTTTTCCACAGGTGAACTGTCCACGTTCCCACCTGAAGCCAACCCTCCCACTGTGCCCTGGACCCCATTACAGCCCCTCCACTCAAGGACTCTGCTCTACGACTCCCCTCATCATGCACTTCTTCCCAGCTACTGCATCTTCCCAAAAAGTGCAAACATTCTATTGTTCATTCGTACAATTTCTCTCATTAAATTCAAAACAAGGCAAAACAAAAGGCTTCCCCTAACTCCACCCTCCTGCCAGATACTGCCCCTCCACCTTTTACACACTTTTCCCCAGGGGGGGTCTATACCTTGAAGTAGCCAATTCCACTTCTTCTGTTCCCAGTCTGCCTTTCACAGCCACCTGCCCACGGAAACTGCTTGTCCAATGATGACGGCCTCCTTCCTGCTAAACTCCAAGGTCAGCTGTCAGTCCTCATTCTCTCTCTCAGCAGCAGTGGACACAACAGATCAACTCTTCTCTGTATACTCTCCCCACGTGGCTTCAGGAGTGCACATGCTCAGGTTGCCTCAAACCTGCTCTGTCTTTGCAGGTTACCCCTCTCCCTCCTGACCTCTTTAGGTCTGCACACCCCAGGCTTAGGCCTTGGTTTGCCTTTTCTCTCCAGATTTGCTCCCTTGATAATCTTTGTCAAGTCTAGGAGAATATTACGTGTAATTAAGTAAGTCAGATGGAGAAAGACAAAAACTATATATCACTTACATGGGGTATCTCAAAAATAATACAAATGAACATATATGAAAACAGAAAGACTCACAGACAGAAAAGAAACTTGTGGTTAACAAGGGGAGGTGGGGAAAGGAGAAATCAAGGGTATGTTATTAATGGACACAAACTACTGTACATAAAATAGTTCAGCAACAAGGATTTACTGTACAGCACAGGGAACTCTACCCAATGACTTGTAATAGCCTACAACAGAATATAATCTGCCAAAAAACTGATTCACTTTGCTGTACTCCTGAAACACAATACTGTAAATTCATTATACTTCAATTAAAAAAAACATGGCTTCAAAAATATTCATTTTTAACAACACTTGATACCTACAGTCCACACCTCCCTCTCAACTTCAGATTCCTCCATCTAACTACCGCCTTGCCATCTCCACTTGCACACAGAACAGGCATCTCAAAATTAGCATCTCAGCAGCTCAACTCCTGGTCCTCTCTCCATCCTCAAGCCCACTCTGCCTCCCCCTCCATCCCAGCTGGAGAGGAACTGCATTCTTCTAGCTGCTCAAGCCACAAACCCTGCCATCATCCATGATGCCTCTCTCACAACCCCAAACCAATCTTTTAGACTTTTGGCTCTATCTCCTAAATACATCCCCATTCAACTGCTTCTCATTACCACCACTGACACCACCCTGGATCAAGCCCCATCACCCCCAGCCCAAATACCTCAAATCCCCTTCTAACTGGTCTCTGTGTTTCTTCCTGTGCCCCTATGGTGTGGGTCTATATTTGAATGCAATGGCATCAGCCCAAGGAATCTGTCTAAAGGATGCATCAGGTAAAGTCACTCCCATGCTCAGCACTTCCCAGGCACTCACCTTTCCACACTGAATGAAAGCCCATGGCTGCTTCATGCCCTAGAAAAGCCAACCGTGCTTGTCTCTGTGATGCCCGATCTCCCCTCCCCCACCCCTCTCTGCCCACTTTGCCCCAGCCATGTGGGCTTCTATGCTGATCCCCAAAATGCCAGGCATTCCTCCTTCTTTGGGACTTTTACACTGTTTCATTTTCTGGAATATGCTTCCCCCACACACCCACACAGCCAATTCCAATTCCTCCTACAAGTCTTTGTTCAAAGGGCTGTCTCACCGAGGCCAACTCTATCTTCCTTTCCTCCCACCAAAATGGATGACTCCACCAGGAAATAACTCAGAGAGGCACTGGGATGTACAAACACACACAAGTGATTAATAAAACATCCAGACTCCCCATCACTAGATCAAACTCTTATCCAGATATTTCTCTCTGTATCCACCTTCATTTGTACATTGCCCTTTGCATTCTACATTTATAGCTCTTTTCTGGCAAACATTTTG